GTAGGGAAAATGCAACAGTTCTTCTGAAATGAGTACAAAGCAATTAATCATCCACTGTAATGTAGTATTTTTTCTAAAAGGAAGGAGTAATTTTTTGTTTTTGCATAGCAAATACTTGAAGGGAAAGCTTAATGTGGACAATAAATAAGGAGCAGAAAAGGGAAGAAAAAACACAGTACCTCAGATTAAGCTGGTTTTTGTTTTCTTTTTCTTCGAGTTTTCTATTTCTGCTCAGACCACCTTGTCTAATAAGTATATTATCAGTAACTACTTAGTTTTACATACCATTCTTTGGAAGTGATTGCTGTAGTTGTTTTTTAGATTCTCTTTACTACATTTATTCCTACAGCAGCAGAAGGGAGGGCTTAAGAGATGGTGGGGAGATAAAATTGAGGGAGGTTGTGGTTGTGCTGAGAATTTGCATCACTTCTGTTTGCAGTGTGCTTCTTTTACAGAGGGGCAAAGCCAGTGTGCAAGTGATAATTCCATCACCTTTCTAGTCATTCTCTCTTGAGTCATTCTGGTTCTTACTGTAACAGATACCTTATTTTTAAAGTTATGATTATTATTTGAGCATGAATGGAGCTTACATTCTCTTTCTTTTCTTGTTGTTTCTTCTCTGCTTCCAGAGAAGATGGAAGGGGCGTTCTAGTTCTACATACTGTTTGTCTATTTAATCAGAGGAAGGAATCAAAAGAAGGCATTATCTTGTTCTTGTGTTTTAATTGCTTGTCCCAAGACTAAAGCAATAGTTACAACCTTTTTTCCCCTATTACATTCCTTCCAAAATATCCTCCAAAGTCTTGCTTCACTTGAGGTTTGCAGCTTAAGTCATACAATCTCATTTAGATGAATTGTCATTTAGAAATGTATTCACTCTAAAAAGATACCTTCAGTTTGATAAATAACTGCTTTTTTAAATAAAATGAAAAAGTTAGTTTAGATAATTGATCCTTTCAATATCTTTGACAAAGATAACTGCAATCTGTTTCCCAGAATAATCATTCAAAAGAACCTTTTCCATTGTAAAGACTTTTTTTTTTTCAGCAAATCCAAACTAGACATGCAGTGTTTACTTCTTCTTGTTCTGTAGTATTTCCTCAGTAAAATGGAGGTTAAAATCAACAAGTTTTTCTTTGCCAGGCTGAGCATTCATACATGCCATATCCCGTCATTTTGTTGTTATTGTTGTTTTAGATTATTAGATTGGGTGATATGCTTACTATCTCAAATATTAGGTGTGTTTTCTGTAGTTCTCTGAGTAAATGCAGGGAAAAAAGGAAATAAATCTAGTCTAAGTATTTCTGTTCTATTTTATAGAAATATAGAATCATTTAGATTGGAATGGACCTCCAGAGGTCATCTAGTTCAACCTCCTGCTCAAAGCAGGTCTAATTAGATCAAGTTGCTCAGAGACTTGGGGACAATAAGTTACTAAACGACTATCTTAAATATGTTGAGATTATTTTGTACAAAACTTCAGAGGATGACTCTTAATTTACATTCATTAGGTTTATTTAAAGTCATATCATGAAGTAATATTAGAAGTATTTTTTGTCTCTGCTACCGGTTGGTAATGCTGACATTACACATCTTCAGTGAAGAGAAATAGTGTTGTTGCAAATGGTGGGATACTCTTTGACAGCAACTTTAATGACTGCCAGTATGAAATGAAGAGTGTTCTTCCACCTTTTTCAAAATCATTTAATACTTTAAGATGTAATACCTTTTGGTAAGTAAGCTGCCAGAAAATTTGTGTCCAAGTTTTTTTGCTTTGTTCTTTGGTATGAGATATGTTCTTGTCTTATAACTAATTCAGTCATGTGTTGAATATCAGATTTTCAAAATTATTACTTCAAGGCTAAGATGAAACATGAGAATTAAAACCTGAATTTAATTTTAGGAGAAATCTCTACAAAATTATTTTATGTGGTTTATAAGCAATATCTTCTGAATCGAACTGCAGTGTACAATGCACATTTTTAAAGCATACAATAAAAAATGCAATAATCACCCAGTGATGTCATTTATTCATGTTGTATCATACATTGAGGACCTTTCTTCTTCACAGAGAATTTCGAGGAAGAAGTGCTAACCTACCTTTTTTTTTTTTTTTCATACGTAGCAATTTTTATCTTAGTTTATGAGCATAAATTGAATTGCACCAAAGAACATGCATATATTTTTTTCAGGTAACTTACTTTTACAAAAGGTATAAATTGACTACGGCACCAGGTGATAACTGATTGTCATAGACAACTGGACATCTGGTGTTAATGCCGTTGTCTCAGTTTTATATAATATTTGTCAGTTATTTTACAGTTAAATGAAAAGGAGAAAAGTGCAATCTTCAGAAAAATATAAGGAAACACATACTGTAATTTGCAGGGATTTTTATAGCTTAAAGTTAGTGACTGTAATAAGTTCAAACGGAAAGAAATGGATTTTTTTTCTTTTTTCTTTTTTCTTTAGCATGGTATTTCCCAAGAATGAATGCAAAGTACTTAAATGCTATTTAACCCTTGTTAAGTAATACAAGCTATTGGAAAAAAATCCCTGAATAAGCATAAGTTTAGGGGACTATAGGAGAGAGAATATATTCTTTAACTATGGTATAGAGCTAATTACAGGATAGTATTTTTTTTATGTACATAAATAGCAAACATGACATGAAGAGATAAATATTCTAGATCTAGTTAAGTGTTTTATATTAGAGTAATGTTTAAAGTTCAGTGATGAAGCAAAAGGCAAATTTCTAAAACTATTTTAGATGTTTTTCACAGTTCCAGTTATTTACTAACACATACATAAATGATCAATAAAACAGAGTCCTTTATGTTGTCTGACAGTTTCTTGGATGTTCTTTTTATTCAGTCTTTTGGCCAATTCACTGTTGTATCAGGTTCATACTTTAGACATGAATAATATGAGCTTTAGCTGATCGAAGCTATTGCAATTCGGGAATTGGAATGAACCGATCCCTTCAGAACACTAGCGCATGTTTTCCGGGCTTGAAAACGAAACAAGTTGCAGATGTGTGTTTATGTGCTCGGCAAATGAAGTCCTTGAAGACTATACAATACATAATTCATGTAAGAATGCAAAAGCATTTAGAAATCTGCTGGTCGAATCATCATAGTTGTGGCTTTGAGAGAGTATCCTGACCCTTTCCAGTAGTACCACTTGATACCATTAAACTTGTTGTTGTTCTGTCGTAATGGATAATACATTCCATTGAGGTTAGAAGGACCACATGCATCGAACCACCATCCTGCAAGACCAGAAAAAAATATCAGCAGATGAAAATATCAACACAGGTAGTTGTCGGAACTGTATGTGTACCCACACACACATGCACACACGCACACACACAAAATATATGTACATTTATGTATGAGCAGGTGTTAACACTGTCCAGAAATGAGAAAGAAATTTAAAAACTATTTTTCATACTTCTGATTTGAGCCTCAAGGTCAATAAGGAAATGTATTTATGCATTAACTACATATTCTTGAAACTTATGTAATACAAAGTTAGCCATAGCAGTTAGCCATACAGTTCTGTATGCAGATCAATTCAAAACCTCTCTGTGCTGAAGCAGCTGGACTAGGTAAGAAGAAAAAGGAGAAAAAAGCAGGCCATACTCATTTTGTATCTTTGTGGTCCTGATCTGTTAGTAGGTCATAAATAAAATTTATTTTTATTATTTTTATTATTTATTATTAATAATATTTTTATGCTTCTCTTATGATAGACACTTTAATGTGTGTCCTGTTTTATAGGGCAGTAATCCAATTATCTTTTCAGATAAACTGAAACTGTCTTTTGTCATGTAACTGGTTATATAGAGAATCGAATCATTGCTTAAGAGATAACAAAAAGAGAAGTAAAATTTACACAGCAATGTTTATGTCCCAGAATGTGTAATTCTGTAATTCTAGAAAGAGTTGTCTGGGAGTTCCAAGTTAAGATTAAGAAAAAAATCATCTAAAATTCCAATAACAAATGAACAATCATTAGAGAAATGTAGATACTTCATATATTACGGTGCATTGTCATTTAATAATCTTATTGAAATATGTAATTAAATACTTGGATCCTTCTGTGGCCTGTACAGCATATAGCAGCTGGGGGCGTTTTATTTTTTTGTTTCTTTCTCTTTAAGAGCCAGTATAGTCTTTTCTTTGCCTTTAGATAGTTAGGGAAGGTTTTTGTGTCTAAAGAATCAGGAACCGTTTCACTGACCAGCTAAGTTGCTAGGGCAAAATTTCAAACTTCTTAGGTGTTGTGATCTCTGGGACTATGTTATCTCATTCCTTTGCAGAGTAACCTGCTGTCACTTATGCTAGTTCCACAATTACAGGCCTTCTAGTGCCAGAACTTGAGAGTCTGGATTCCCCACACCCCATCCCTTGTTTTAACTTCTCTTGTTTTATTTTAACTAGCCTTTGTCAAATAGTAGAATATGTCATTTGAAGTCACCATACTAGTCCTTCTGTCTGAGTTTTGGACATCTTCAATAGTCAAAATTTAATAAGTCAAAATTACCACTGTTTACCTCAGACAATTTCAGTGCCAAAAAAAATAGGAAGACTGAGAAACTGAAAACCATTCCTACCTCCTGTTAGCATTTGTGAACATTTGCAAATACATTTGTCATTGTCTGCATCCTTTGTGCTAAAATCATTTCCTGGTTGGCTTATACTACTTATTTTGCCTGCTGTCCCAGTAAGTCCTTTAAGGTGGATCCTGTAGAAGTGAAGAATGAAAAAACAAATATTAGATGGAAGTTAATGATAGCTGATCTACAAAATATCCTGTTCAAAGAGTTGAATAGTTGAGTTCTCTTCTGGCCAATTTACTCTTGTAAACTGTTTTGGAGCTTAAATATATGAGCAGAAATAGTCACTGCACTACTATACTGAATAGAGAATTTAACCGCTGCTTATGAAGAGATGATTATTTTGTTCAAGTCCTGTTAGAACAAATTGAGAGCAGGTAGCTAACTCATAATTTTTCATGTACACCGTGCGTTTCTTAATACTGTACATGCGTTGTGTGCAGATAACTTTTTAAATTGATCTTTTCCTTCTTTTTTAGTTTCTATTAGCTATTAGCTCAATGTGGCAATGTATCATTACAACTTTTCAATTATGATGGATAATAAGATTACCTGAACTACTAATTGTAATTGATATGTTAGGATTGTCTCAGTATTCCTTTTCTGTTTTCCGTATTACTCTTCCTGTTCATCTTCTTCATGGATACAAATACGATAGATCATCTCAGGAATTTGTCAGTGTTATTTCGCTTCCCCTGGGAAGTTAAAATTCCAGTGAGGGTGCTATTGTTTGGATCTGCTCATCCAGGTGCAGGTGCAGTCTCAATGGGGAAGGAGCGCTGAACTGGGGAGGTGGTTACACAGCTGCTACTGTGGTATGCAACTTAAGAGTCCATGTGTCGAATTGGGAGGGCTTGAACCCTCTGGGCCCACAGTAACACTTTACCAATTGCACTTCTGTGTAAAGCAGCTTATCTTTCTCAGAGCTATTCTATTTGTTTAAGGAAGAGAAGTGACTTTTTGAGAAGTAACTTGTCCCCAGACGTGTCTTGATCTTGCGTGAAATTCTCTGCTTATTATACAGGTTGTTAGATTGGGGATTTTTGCTGTAGGATAAGTATCATTATATACTGCTATATATTACCTTAAGTGCTACATAGTTTTAATTTTTGAGTGCCTTTGGTAGTTTAACAGATTATTTTTGTATATTCCTCATACGAAAATAGTGAATTCTCATTTAGTTTCAAAACAGTAGATCACTACAAAGCTTTTCCAAAATCTCTTTCAAAGAGTTATATTCTGGGTTTTTTTCAGAATATATTTACTAGAATTCTCATGAATTCAAAACTCTTTTCAAACACTGATCCCTGTAATGCAGTCTCTAACAAAGTCAGAACTAAAATTTCCAACTATAGTGTTACGAGCCTAGGCTTGATTTTAAAATACCATTTGAAACCTAATATAAGCAGAGCGTTATTCAAATGACTAGATTTAAAAACGTATAGCTTGGTATAACTGTGTAATATTGTCTTAGATCACAATGATTGTACTGCTGTTCTGTGAAGAACAGCAATTTCCCTGGCTATCAAGTCATAATTTCTCCATTGGTGGTTTGGCTTAGAAGGTCACTCATTTCCCTTCTCTACTTTCTTTGGGGAGGATTCCTTTAAGAAATGAATTTCCTTCTTAGTTTATATGTTGTGAATTATACTTTGTAGTACTTGTACGTTATTTACTGCTCTTACACACACATATCTGTGTGTGTTTAGGCAAGCTGATCTCTTAATGTACAGCTGAAGACAAGAATAATTTAAACAACAGTGGAAGCAAAGGAAGTCTTAACAGTTGCATTGGGCTGTTCCTAAATAAAGCTGTAGTAGATAATGATGTAGAAATGTAGTTAATGATGCAGAAATTAACAGTGCAGAAGTGCAGAAGCACTTCTGTTCTAAGTTTTGAAAAACAGGATGATATACTATTGTTACAAAATTAAGTTTTTCCAGTGTATCAGCTTAGGCTGCTACGTGCTACAAGATGATATTAAATATCATCTGTTCGGCATCAAGGGTCGCAAAAGAGGGAGCATCAGTAGGACAGAAATCTCCTTGGCCAGTTTTTACCAAATCAGGCAAAACTGAGGAAATGACTATCTGAACATGAAAACATTCAAAAAGAACCAACAGGATGATACACACTGTTCCTGAGTATAGCAGAAAAATTTTGAGAAATGGTCCTAGGTATCATTCTGATATCATTCTTTACCTCTATTATGGACATTTTTTAATTCTAATTAGCTGGTAAGAGGTGGGGTTTTTTAATTTATTTTTGTTCTTTTAGTATTCTATGGGTTATGAACTGACTTACAGTCATGCATTTCTACAAATATTTTACTGAATCCCATGTTCCACATACCTCTCAAATGCAGAGATATTTGGTTGAAATGTAATGGTTCATGACATATCAGAGAGACACATTATCTGGTGGTCCCCTCTGTTGAGAGCCCTGTGAAACTTGTACATAGTTTTTCTACATATACAGCCTTATTTAAAAGAGTTAACAAGTGGAAACAATTTGGACAGAAAGTAGATAATTTAGGTACGCAGAAACTTACGATACTTAAAAGCCTTTAAAAGGTGAGAATTAAAATGATGTCCCCGTGTTCAGATAAAAGTAATTCCCTCTGCTATAAAATTAATGTAACTGAACTGCAGAAGTTCTGGTACAACCGTGTCACCATTAGCACTGTGTCACTATGTGTGAGGAGTAGAATCTAGGTTATCTTACCCTGTTTAGATCATTTTCACTGTGTACTACCTGAAACTAGCATGAAATCTGCAGTGATGCACGGCAGGAGGATGAGAGACAATGGATGTAAATTGAAACGAGAGCTTTTGACTGGATATCAGGAGAAACATTTTCACCATGGTGGCAGATGAGCAGTGGAAGGGGTTGTGTAGCCTCCATCCTTGGAGGGTTATCAAGACCCGACGTGCCCTAAGCAGCCTTGTCTGTTCTCTTAGCTGACCCTGCTTAGAGCAGGCAGTTGAACTCAACTGATGCCCATTCCCTTCTGAATTTTTCTATGCTGCTATGAAGTGTTGTTTTTCTGACCCAACTCTTGTTCTTTCCAGCATTCAAAAAATGTATTAATGTTTTTTAATGTAATGAGAGTTGCTGTTTATTGAATACTTTCTTAGCTTTTCTCTTTCATAATGTTAAATATATTCTTTAAACCACTGCATTCAGTGATGCATTTAATATTTGGTTGCATTTTGAAAGGAAGTGTCTATTTACAGACAACCATCTTAGTTTTCAGTAATTATTTTTTAATAATGTAGATGGACAAGGGTAATGACCCATTTTCCAAAGGTTGTCTTTATAAGTATTTTAATGCATTATTTTAAAAATCTATGCTGTAGATTCTAACTGTTTCCAGATGAAAAAAATATTGTCTTTGGAGCTGAGACAACTGTATACTACCAGGACGTTAAGATCTAGCATTTTGGGGGAGGGAGATACTGATAGTTTTGGATTGCTTTGCATAAGAGACTTCAGTTGAAGTAACAGCATTGTCTTCTGTTTTCCTTTTATTATCCTTTGAAAGGGGAAGAACATAATAGTTTTGCCCATGACTGGTATAAAAACTTAGTGATACTTTATTGAAGTTTTATTTTAGTAGAATGTAGTTCTTAAAACAATACAGTTTTCTGAGGTGTTAGATTGACTTTCTTTGCAATGAATAGTTGTTAGAGATCTCAGAGCAATTAATTTAAATGTAGGCAGCTTTTCTGTCCAGTCAGGCAAAGCGTCATGAATCTATACAATTCACATAAATATTCCCAGGCCGTGCAGTAGGAAGGCGTCTGCTTAGTTTCTTATATAACCAGTCATACAATATCTGCTGCATTTATAGAGAGTCTGGAGTAATAAAATGAAGTATGAACTGCTATTTCATTTCTTAACCAAACATGAGAAAAAATATTAAGATCTGTGCCTATATTTTTTTTAGAGTGATGGGAGCATAAGTGATACAGCCATTAAAATCAGGTGTTAAATATGACAGGTTTGTAGAGGGACTGGACTGGACTTTTGCTTTTAGCTTCTTTTTCACAAATAGAAGCATTATTCTTACAGAGTCTGAGACAGTGAGTAATGGGTGAGAAGGAAGAATTACCTCTGTACTCAATGTGCTGCTTCTGTAAAGTGAAAATCTTGCAGGATTGTCTGCCTTAGTCATCCACCTTCCAGGAATGTATTTATTTCCTGGAATCATGGTTAAATAATCTCTTGTTTTCTTAAAGTAATTTGCAATGTTAATTCAGGAAGTTGTTCCTTGTTTTTGTTTTATTTTTATGCAAATAACAATGATGGAAATTAATTTTACAAAGTAAAGTTGACTTAGCATTTTTAAACAGCTAGGAATTGTTACAATTTGATCTTAGCAAAGAAACAGCTAACTGATTATCTAATTATTGTTATCTAATTATTTAAAGACAAGGTCATTTAATTTGATTCAGGAATAAAATTTAAGTTTTCTTTCTTTAAAATATGGATAGCAGCTACTTTGTTGAATTCATTAGAATACTGCAAGATAGAAATTTCTCTTCAGATCAGAAGAAAAGCACATATACAAATTTACTTTAGCTAATAGTTCTCTTTGGGAAGCTCAGCTGTGATTTGGAAAAAAATTATCAGAGCTATGGAAAACCAGTTCATCCCGCTGCTCTGCTGAGACTGAACTTTGAGGGTAACCATATGCATACGTGACTGCATTGAACACAATAGATGGTGGTTATTGCTCTGTCTGTAAAGATTATACTTGTGTGGATCTACCTACACAGAGAAGAACAGGAACACGGGGGGGTCACTTTTCTCTTCATCTCCTTTTTCTACATAGGCATTTTCCTGTTGCCCTGGAAGTTGCATACTGCCAACTGCTGTATCAGATTGTACACTATATTTTCTCTTTGTTTATGGAGCATCTTGTATATGTTATTCACCCAGTGTGCACTAGTAAAATGTACATTCTGTCCTTAAAAAAAAAATTATTAAAGCTAGACAGGTGATAAATGAAAATTAGAGCAAGCCTTTTTTTTCCTGAGTGAATTTAAAAACCTTTGTAATTGGTATGAAATTAAGTAATGCAACTAAACAGTTTCAAATAAATAGCATCAGATGACTTTTTTATTCAGATTAGGTTTTTCTGCTTACCTGTACTTTAGTTCTTCACCAGATAGGTAGAAGTGGTCGTACAGTGAATATGCCTCATTTCCTTCCCAGTCTTTCAGGTATATTTTAAGAACATAACGCTTCTGATTAGTCAGTTGAGAAACAAACTCATTTCCCAGCCAGTACTCCCCAGCAGGATCACCAAATCCCTATAATTCAAGTTGTATGTTTAAATAACTTTGATTTGGTTTTTTTTTGACTCTGAAATGATCACTTTATCAATTTTTAAGTATCAAAGTTTTCAGTCTGTCAACTCATAATTTTACTATGTGGGAGAAGGTTATATATTTCTGGTATTTCAAAGAGTAGATTTCAACAAAGACAAATTCAGAAATCCGGAAAAAGTGAATCAATGCCAATCTTAGTAGATTTGGAGCAAGGTGCAAGTAGAAACACAAATATAAATAACTTAAAAAATGTGGACACATCATGTAATGGTTGATTAAGAGGCAGAAAAAAACGGAAGTTTCTCTTTAAAAACAAGCATCACAATTGCAAGTCTGCTTAGGCAAACAATTTATACTATGATATTTTCTAATTGAACATGAAGGAAAAAAGATGCCTTTTGAAACCAACTTACAATCTGAGGGCATTATTAATATTACTTTAATATATCAGATTTCGGATGATACTAAGGCTTCAGAGAACGTTGTTCTTACCATCTTGTACTCTTTCCATGTCCGGTGAAAATCCACACTGCCATCTTCACGTCTCTGAATAATTGTCCAGCCTCCTCCACCAGTTTCCATGTCACAGTAAGCCTACCCGAGTAAGTGCATAACAGTGTAAGTGCATGCTGTCATTTGAAAACAAAAGTGCTGAGCGTGTACTTTGTATAAATCTGTACAGTGGTGAGTATTAATGTATGCAAGAGCACAATATGTGTATTAACCTAAAAAAATTGTGCTGTTTTTCATAGCTTTCACACAAGTGACTCAGTGTCCACAAATGATGTTATTGCTCAGTGTTCATTGCACTTAACAGATACAGGTGACATCTTAAAAACAGGTGATAGCCAGTGTTAAAGGGACATCAACTTAGAATCTAGACTTTTTGAATGAAGAAAGAGTTGACTTGGATTCTATGCTTGCCTGTCTGTTCCACTAATATTTTTGTAAGTTTCCTGATCAGATATTCCTCCAAGAAGATATTTTCATTTCTCCAGCTTTTTCTTGTGAGATATTAACTCAAATTTCACATAGTTGGGCACAGTATACATGTTGATTGTTAAATTCAGGCAGTGGGCAATCTTAAACAAATTTTTTAATTTGTTTATTTCCACTGTCATTGTTTCAATACCTTTACAGACGATTTGCTCCCCAAAAAGTAAATCTAAGTATAGTACAATTATTAGCTGAAAGTAAACCTTCAAGCCGTATTGTTAGACAGCAACTACTATAAAATGTTTTTTCAGTAATTCATCATCTTTGAATTTGCTAAGTTATTGCTGAACATTTAAAAGGACTGACTTGTAGTAGCCAGTTCACTGAACTCGGTCTTGAATTACGCAAAAATTGCATCCCCAGCACAGAGTAATCCTAATTTATAGGTGGGATATTGAAACAAAGTATTTTGTTCAAAAGAGATATCCGTATCCAATCTGAGAGGAGCTCAGAAAATGGCATACTGTGGATTGAACTATGAACAATGAGCAATGAATTAAGCACAACACAGTTGTGGTCTGATTTCTCTGAAGTATACTTTAAGAGATTATAGGAAAGGACATTGGAATAAAATAACTGTGTATATCATGTACAGAAAAAAGATGGGCCTGTGAATACATAAAGACTTTATTTTGACTAAATCCTGCTTGTTTTCCAATTATATTTTCTGTCTTAAGAAAAAAAAAACACTTTTCTTGCATGGAAAGTATATTTCTAGAGTTATTCTAAATAAAAAAAATATAGAAAAAGATCAAATAATTTGAAATGTAATAACTATATTCTGAGGAAGAGGGCATGTCAAAAGTGGAACCGAATGGAAATCATAACTGTATAAATTACATGTTAGTACTGATACTCAGAAAAACCTGAAAGTTTTTGTCCAAGTTTTCCTGTTTGGAGACTTTACAGTTTAACATTAAAGCTCTTTCATTTGGAAGTTTAAAAGAAATTGTATCACTTTCTGCCAGGATACTGAAGTTTTGAAAATGTCTGAAAGGTGTGAAAATTATAGTTTGAGTATTAAACTACACTAACTTCTAACCTAAATGCTAGATATTTCATCGGTTATGGACACATAATGCTCCACAATAATGAAGCAAAGATTTGGCTTCTTACGCTTTGGTAGGATGTTTCAGATGTACAGATTCGATCTAAAAAAATTAAAAAAGAAGCCAACCCCTGGAACTGAGTGTTTCATTTTCAGCCTAGGTGTTTCTCCTTTTCTTAT